AAGTACAGTGTAATCGGTCGGTAATCAATACAGGGCGGTAATTACATTGTTTATTAAGTGCAACCGAAGCCTTTGTAAGGCCAAAACAATGTGTCGGATCGGACGGCACTCTTCAATCGAAGCTGGTCTTTCATTATAATCCTTTTCGTTCAATCATTATTATTTGGACGGTTTTTTTTTTTTTGTATGTATAAATATATTTGCTACTGTCTAACACACACACAAGACCGGTGCGAAACGCGTAGTGAGTAAGTATTGGTAGTAAGTAGCGTGTCAAAAAATTATATTTATTAAACAGAGCAAGTAGAACATTTTTTTTTTTTTCAATAACAAAGCCACGACCCTTGAGTGTAATATTATATTATTATATGATTATACGGCGCGGTTGTATATATTATATATAGGGTGTGTAGTGTCTATTGTGCGCGAACTGGTTCGAATATTGTGCACTCATTTTTTATAGTAGTAATAATAATATATGTACACTCACTGTCAATAGACAGCTCCCAGTTTTTTTTTATTGAATCGAATTTTTTATATATTTATTTTCATTTTTTTTTTTTTTTTTGCAAAACGCCGGTCTGGAAAAAGAACGGTCCGTTTTCATCCCCTTCGTCGTGGTGTGTTATTATAATAATAATAATAATGTATTTTTCTTTAAATTAAATTCCGTGACAAATACACGTGACTTTATGTTATTTATTGCTCTTGACGTGTCGTCGCGGTGTGTAATATTGTACATACCTACACTATATTATGTGTATGATGTGTCTTATCCATTATTATTATTATTATTATTTTGGATAATATGCGGACAAAATTTGAATTGTTTCAGGCCGACCGGGGCCGGCTATCGATCCCTGCTGGGTGTGCGATAATCGGTCCCTTTTAATGGTGTGAACAAGGGAAAGAAACGCTGTGCCTTTGATGTAAAATATCATTTTCTCAACTCCAGACACAACGATCGACGACTATCATCATAATGCGTGCCCGGCTATATTATAACAAACTGTACTCTCTATAATATGCACCGCTATTATAGGTATGGCAAGTTCCCATTGTGTGTAAACGTCTTGGGGAGATTCACTCGCGGGTCACTTCCACCGGATTCACACGAAAACCGCGTTTGTATTGTCTGAACGTATCAATATTAATCGCACTCGCTTTGGCGCCACGACAAACCGCTTTCAAAGGCGGTCAAAGAACAAAAACAAAAAAAATTATTTCATTTTTCAAACATTCTCCTGTGTGCTCCGTTTGACTAATATAATACCTAACCTATTGCTAACCAAACTCATTAACGTGAAATTTATTTTAAAAATCAGAATAAACCTAACCTAACCTAACCTTACCAAACCTAACCAAACCTAACCAAACCTAACCAAACCTAACCAAACCTAACCAAACCTAACTTAACCAAACCTAACCTAACCGTCTCATCTATCAGTTATATTATATAGGGTAATATTTGTACATATTGGGCCACTCAATATCTCACTGGGGTTAATTAATGTTTACATTTTTTTCCCTTATATAATGTGATCTCAATTTTCATGTCCCTATCCCTTTCCCTAACTAATTATTTTTATATCAACAGAAGATAGAAGTTAATCGTTTAGGCATGTGTGCTAGCCTATAGGTAGTCGATGAATGGTTTTCATAGGTAGTATAGACTATTGGAGATGTGCACTTGCAGTGCTTGCCACAAAAAATGTTGCACAAACAGAGACTAGCTGCTAACCGGTTGTATACTAAAAAGGATACATATTCTTCTACTCTAGCTGTTGTTTTCTTATTAAAGATGATTCTAATTTTTGTTCACTACAGTCTTTAGTGCCGTGCGAGCACACACCCGAGTGTAATGGTAATTGATTTTTCGCGTTTCGGCAATTTCAATCGAACCAATACATAATAACGTTAACAACAATACTGTAATAGTTTGGGAGAACACAAAACGCAATGCAATCATTGACTGACCCAAGCGGTTGAACGGTCGCCGCCGGTTAATGCGTATAGCGTGCAAGTAATGAGTGGCCGGGTCAACGGTTTTTTAATATATATATATATATTTTTTTTGGAGGAAAAAACACATTTTTATTAAATATATATATATATATACAAATTAGTAGATATTACATATTATTATAAAACACACACCAATAACAATAATGAGCAGATCGCATTAACACGCCTGTGTATATGTAATGCGTGCGACGGCGTGGCGTTTTTTTGTGAATATTTTTTAGGTGGAAAAAAAAATAATTCATAAAAAAAATCCAACGAGTAAATAGGACCGACGTGGAAAAAAAAATGAAAAAAAACCTATACCCAATATAGGCGAGGTTCAAAAGAAATTCATCAGTCATCGGGTTCGGAAATCGGCGTGTCGGCATCGCCAGTTTTATAAGACAGTTATTACTATTCTAGATAATCATAGCGTAAAGATCATTTTTTTTTTTTTACCTCCCATTCTATATATATAAAAAAAAATAATAATATTTTATATATACATACATCTAATCAATTAAACCGGGCGCCTACAATTTTTTTTTTTGTTCGACGCCTTTCTGGACGTTTCAACACTTTTTTTTTAATGACCATATTATATTGTAGTCTATCCATCTGTACCTATACATTTATACGTGAATACCAATACCGTCTCAGTCTTCACTACTATTTATTTTTTAGCAAAATATATAATAATATATATTATTTTGTACCACGCGACACAATACATATTATATTTTCATTATTTTTTTTTTTGGCACGCTCGAAGAACGGATGGGCAGATGGTGGTCGTGCGCCAAACCCTCCCCCCCACCTATCTTATATAGTTATATAATAGCAGCGCTATTAATATTTGTCGGAAAAAGATAGACAACCGGCTTCTTGCATCCATAGATGTTGTGATGTGCATCATTCGCATAAAAAGGTTATTAATTTTTAAAAAAACTATTTAAATAGTTTGTAAGCGTTTGTTTCGAGTAATTATATTTGAATCTATTATTTCGTATGAATCTAATATTATACAATATTCTACGTTTAGAAAATTGTATGTACAAAACCGGTGTAACTTCAAAATTAAAAAAAAATACATAGGTATTATTTTTGCTTAACGAAGTCACAATTAATCATATCTTTCATGATAAAAAAAGGAATGCAACTATCCGATAAATACAAAAAAATAAATAAAAAACAATGAATGTTTACCTAATAATCTAACCTAACCAAACCTAACCTAACCTAACCTAACCAAACTTAACCAAACTTAACCTAACCTAACCTGTATTTGTTTTTCTACCCATGAATTTACAAAAAGCTGGTTATTTCAAAATTCAATCTCAAAGAGATAATTCACATAAGACAATTATTTTGCATTCGACTAATTTTTTATTCAAATAACATTTTATTCGAATATATTTTTATACATTTGAATAAGAAATTTGACTAAGAATTTGCCCAACTCTGCTTGTATTATCATAATATTGTGTCCGGTGACTTTAACGCTCTACACGGCCGGTCCTCGCTAAGTCACTGGCTGGGCTTAAGTGGATTCACGCATATAAGATGTTAAGACCCGGCTAAAAAACACTTAATCAGATAAACGGCCTCAAAGCAAAAGAAGTTTTTAGTAGTAAATTTGACGCCTTAAACCGGAAGGTCCGTTGCACTTCCCGAAAACGGCCATTGTGCAATATTGATACAATATTATAGTGTTATATAACCCTTCCTAGTAGGTATACCGTTTGGTATTATAATGACAATAGGTATACATGTCAGTGGAGGCTATATTTTTTAATATGCTTTTTTACACAGTTTTTGGTCATTCCGTTTAATCGATCATTTTCATATAGGGTTAATATTACTTCTCGATCATCGCACTCCCCCCGGATACACGTACACCGGTTTCGAATTCCGGTCGTGTATACAATATAAGGCTTGCAGAGTGGACGTGTGCGTCAACGGTTGACTTCCTTAAAGTCCCGACCCGACTCAAAGCAATACGATCCACCTTCATCCGCTCGTCGAGTACATTATATTAAATGTATAACAAACGCTTTACAAAACGATAAACCTAAATAAATAAGTATGTTTTATTAGAATTTTTTTCACTCCGGCTTTAGCTTTTGTGTAGAGTTGTTTTTGTAAATTGTTTCTAACGTTAATATAATATACACTAGGTATCATGTTCATCATGTATACGAGTATACTTCAAGTGATGTTTCAGAATTATAACGCGGATTTTAGTTTATAGTACTTAAAAGTAAAGAATACATCATACGTTTATTTTCATTGTTTTAGTCTCTAAAATACTCAATCTAATGTATAATATTACTGAATACATTTTTATAGATATGGATAAATGTTATCTATACCTACAAAAAAAAAAAAATTGCTTTTTTACAAGCGCACAACTTTAACAAATCGGTGGTCGATTTAAGTGAAACTCATTAGGGTAAAATGTATTTTAAAAATCAGAATAAACCTAACCTAACCTAACCTAACCTAACCAAACCTAACCAGACCTAACTTAATCAAACCTAACCTAACCTAACTGGTTGAGAAGTTAATCTTACAGACTAAAGGCGTCCAAGGGGAAGACATATTATATTTTTGCGTCCTGAGGCAGCTTCCGCCCCTGCGTCCACGGTAGCTACGCCACTGAGTACAACGTTATTTCGGTGTAATGTATCCGTCGTCGTCGTTGTTGTTTTGTTGTAAGAAAACTGTACACGTTGTACAATGTTGGTTAATTGTTGGCCGGTAGACACAGACACGCGGTGTATTACGACGTAATGTGCGGCACGCCGGCGGGAATTTCATTTGTGTGCGGCCGCCGCGGGGCGGGGCTTACCGCGAAGGGCGAATGTTATAAAACACGTTGCCGGTCCCTTCCGGCAGATCAGTCGCGGTTCTTCGTCAACACACGACGTTGTTCAATTTTGTTCAATTTTTGATATACTCTCGTGTCCGATTCGCGCAGTTTTTTTACTAAAAAAAAAAAAATAGTTTTTTTTAAATCTCTTTCGGTTTTTTTAATATCGTTAAACACTTGTCGACATGGCGTCCGTTTTGAACTGCATGAACTACGGCGGGGCCGCTTACTTCGACGACCGACAACTTACCCGGTACGTGGACTACGACGCGGCCGGCGACACCCTCAGGGCCGTGTACGAGGCCGCTTTCGCCGGCGGCGGCTCGCCCGCGGGTTCCACGTCCACCGTGACCACCGCGACGTCCACCTCGTCGTGCGGCGATCCCAAGTCCCCTTACGAGGCCAACGGCGGCGGCGGCGGCGGTCTGGCCGAATGCGGTGGGCTGCTGTTCGACGACCAGGACGCCATGGCCATGGCCGCCGAGGAAGCGGCCGCCGGTTGCGACGGCCAGGCAGGCGGCACCGACAAGGTGATGAAGAAGCGGCGGCTGGCGGCCAACGCCCGCGAGCGGCGGCGCATGCAGAATCTGAACAAAGCTTTCGACAGGCTGCGCACCGTGCTGCCCACGTTGGGCAACGACCGGCAGCTTTCCAAGTACGAGACTCTGCAAATGGCCCAGACTTACATCACGGCCCTGTACGACCTGCTGCAGTAGACCAGTAATTGTACGACTTACGTTTTTTCTTACATCAAAATCTTGTACATATTATTTTAACTGTCGAACGTAATCGCTATTAAAAAGAGTCATTTATAGCTGTTATAACTCTTCTCGTCCTCTGCTAGGCTAGTTGTATTTTTTTTATCAAAATGCAGTTTCTCATAAATTTCTTCTTCTTCTTCTTAACCCCCCCCCCCCAACTCAAAGGGTCGATAGGGGCAATATTATATATGTATAAAAAAAGAGGGTACATTTTAATGGAATTTATTTTTAATTTAAAATCTGTTTAATAAATAAGTGTATAAACACCCTTAGCCCTCCCCCCCAAAAATTAAATGCTCCCAACAAAATTAATTGCTCAATTTATATCATGTTATGTTTACTTTTTTGATACGGTTTTTTGCCGTATAATAGAAAATATATACTTTTTTATTCTTGTATTTTTTTTTTTATGATTATATAATGAAAAAATGCCAAATACATATTATAGCCGCGACTTACCGCACGCGCCTTTTTTTTGTTTATTTTTTTTTAAACCGTACCGTCCTTTGACTGTGGAATCGGAAATGTGTAATTATAGATTTCGCCCAAGCCTGTGATAATTGTACAGATATTATTATTATTATTATGTTGTATCGTAGAAGTTAAGTATTTATACGATTATATATTTTTTTTTTATGTATGTTTACAAAGTGCTCAAAAAAAAAAAAAATAGTATATATTATAATGTTGTATTATAATAAAAGCTCAAGATATTTTTAAAAACAAAAAAACTGAAAAAATCTTATTTATTTTTTTGCTTAACATCATCCACTACTACTAATATTTGGGGCGGAGACGTTTCTCAGCGTGGGCGTCTCGTGTGTGTATATATTATGACTTCTTGACCTTTTTTTTGGGGATTTTCGCCCCCGTGTTAAAATAATATAATACAACGTTAATTGAGTAACACGGTTAGGGGGAAAAAACCCGAGAAGAAAAGGGTAACGACGACTTCCGTTCACACACCGAAGGGTGAATCTTTATCTTGTCGCGGCTAAGACAAAAGTCTTGAAAAGTGAACTACTAGTCTTTCTCACGGACCACAACAACAACAACAAGGTACATTATTTGGTTTTATGAATGAGATCGATTTGTGGTGTATAATAAGTAGGTGTAGGTATATTATATGTGTATGGTGTTATATTATTTTTCGGAGTAGGTATATATACCTTTACTTACTTTGTTTAAAAACTGATATTATAATAACACAACCGATGAGCGGTTGTCGAGAACGTGTGATAATCACGTTCGTTAGTCGTGGTAATAATTATCATTAAAAAAAAAAAAATCCCCACAGAGCAGGATGTACACAAATACATAAGCATAGTGTTATCATAATATACAGGTATAAGTACTAACCGAATTAATGTGCACACTTGACTTCCTCGGCGGGTCTTGAAAAATGTTGACACGGGTTAGGGCAGCAGAGAAGGTATACACTATTGTAATATTTATATCATCATCTAAATAAGCTATTAATAATAATTATTATTGTAGCGAACCGATAGGTGATAAATGATAATAAGCGGTTTGTAATAATAACAATACAATAGTTGTAACTTTTTTAAAGGTCTTGTAGAATTATAGGGTTTCAATAAAGTTATTAACTCGTTAAGGTGTCTAATAAGAATCCTCTCCTTTGATTTTTCATAAATCTGCCATCATCTGTCTTATCTCCCTTCCAAATATTATATATGTATCATCTTCTCTGTATGACCATTAATGACTCGACAAGTATCTAAAATTAAATAGTAAAATTTAGAAAAAATATTGTAATTTATCAAAAACCGTTTAAATATGAAATCGGTGGTGTAATTTGTGACAAAAACAATTTTTTCAATTTATTAATCAAAAACTGATTGTCGATTCACTCACACAACCGTTAGCAACCTTTATAATATTTACTACTCTCAATGTAAATTTCCCCCTTTTTCGGAAGGTTTTTTTTCCTTAATAAAAAATTAATTTAATACAGATTTTTAAGAAAATCACATCTTTTTTTCAAAACAAAATGTATAATATTCCATTACTAGCTCTAGTGATAGAATAACTTTATAGCCCCACGTCAGTCTAATTTTCAGACCTTAAGTGTTATAATTTTACAAAAAAGTTTCCTCCCCTTCTAGGGGAAAGGATTTATGATAGTTTTCCTGTTAGTCGCCGTTTATTGAGGTGTTGTATTCTATAATATATATATATATATATATATGTATAGAATATCAATCTAAATAATATTCCTTATAAATTTGAATAGGTGAAATTTTAAGTGATATTAATAAATGGAAAATCGTTGAGCTGATTGCTATGACAGTAATAATAATAAAAAGTACAACGTTGTACGAATTATTATCGTTCTGACAATTGATGCAATAAGTAACAGCTTTTCTTTTAGTCGACATTTTGAGGTGGTTTTTTTTAACTATTATTTTTTAACAACACTTTGCCGCCAATACTGGACCGGGTTTCCGTTGTGCATTATCGTTTCTTCGGTCGAATATAACCTCATTATACATATGCATATGGTAATATAATTATTTGGGTACTTAAGTCGGACACCGTGAGAAAGCCTGATTTCGGGGCAAGTGTGCAATTTAACGTGTCGGCTGTGAAATTTCGTTCAAGTTCCGCCAAAACGGATATAGCTCGAGAAATTTCTTAGGTATACTGCTCGAGAAATAATTATCATTATACTAACCTTTTCCGTCAGTCAGTCCGCAATAGTGCTTTACCATTTCAAGAGTCGTCTCGGCGGGTCTTTGTCGAATTACCAACAATTTTCTTAAGGTACCTACCAATTTTTTTTTTTTTGTGCGGACTTGGCCTAAACAACAACACGCAATTACCGCAGCTCGGCAGACACGTTTAATTACACTATTATATATCTATCACATTGAAATGCACACAATAACGGGTTCTGTATATAATAATTATTTGCAAGCAACGGTTAAGTACCTATGAGGAATTTTTTTATGCTTTTTTTTTTGGTTTGACGGGGTAAACGGTTTTTTTGTGAATTGTCACTATTTCGGGGGCGTGGCCGGTCCGGGCTGTGTTCAATAATTATACACACACACACACACGGTCCGCAAACATAACATTCGCAGACACGACCGAAATGATAAATTAAAAAAAATATATAGTATAATAATATAACAACAGTATTGTTTAACGCCTCCGGCAAGAGATCATTCGTCTTGCACGGACTTCAATCAATCAATTACCTATATTATTATTATACCTTGTAACATGCCTAAGTATGATACACTAGACCGTACCGATTATGGCCAACAGTGACGAAACGTCAACCTTTTTAATTGTTCGTTTTTAACCGAGATCGGTTTTTGACAGGCTGTGCACATAGGCAGTACCTACCCCCCCCCCCCCCCCAAAAACCGCTTAACCCAAACTGCAATAGAAACAAGTAACGCCGCTTCAAGAGGGTTATAATTTTTTAAGTGTACACTGTATTTTTAAAAATCCTACAAAACGTAGGCGCCAACAATTATTATTTGGGGATTGGGATACTAAAAACGAGGAAACTCAAAATTAGTGCATTTCAAAAAAAACCTACTCTGAATCTTGGATATTATGACCTTGGATAGGTCTTCCCTGGCCTATCCAACGGTGTCACGGGATAACTTATGCAAGTAACCTGACAACAAGACCAATATTAGTAAGTAGCACATAAACTTGTAAATAATAAATACAAGAAAAACAATTGTCTCCTTTGCGTTGGAGGACTGTATATACTGACTATAGACCATATTATTATACTGATTTGATTGGTACAATGTGTTTAAATCCGACTTCATCAAAGACCGGTTAATTGTCCAAGTATTTCCATCAAAAACTATATTATAATAATATGTACAATTATTAATGTAACAACTCTATATTGTTGCAAGGACTGTTGTAAAAAAAAAAAAGAAAAACTGTTGAATTTATGCCCGTTTGTGTTTCACACATTTTTTTAGGACGAACATGTATACACACTTATATATTTTTTTTTTTCTTAAATTAAGACACGACAAGATGAAACATAATCGACTCGTCTGGTCCGGCAGAGTGGCTCGCACAAGCAGTTAAACGATAATCCGATCGTGTCACCAGATCCGTGCAAGAACCACCTACAACGGGGGCACACACAACCTAAGCCACTGTAAGGGCTATGCGAGGGGGAGAATGAATAAAAAATTTAAACCAAAAAAAAAACAACAACAACAGTTAACAAACTGCCCACCCAACGATCCCGAAAAGGTGGAAAGAGGGAAAAAGTATTTTAACCGTCTATCTCTGTGTGCGGCTGTAGGTAAATTAGTTAGGTACACACTATACGCCAAATCGTGTGAACATAATCGACACGGACGGACCGAACACGGTTGTATGTATATATATATATATATTATATTTTAAAAAACTGGATTTTTTTTTGATTTTTTATAAAAATCACACGCATAAGTTGCCACCGAGTCGGATTTTGGGCGTTTATTGTCTGCGAGCAATTATTATTATTATTCACCGTGTGTGTACGGTTGAATAGTACACCAATATGAAGAAAATACACTTATGATAATATGTCGGTTCGGATAGGAAAAGAAGCTAATATATTATTTTGATGAGACGACCAGAGGGGAAAGGGTTGAAACGATTATACTAAATTGTAAACATTTGCTAATTAAATAATAATATAGTAATTATTGCTGCTAATTAGTAATAAACAATTTAAATCTATATTATATGAATAAAGGCGATTTTCCATAACAGTTATAGTCGAACTCAATAAATTTGCCTTTCGTTGAGTTGTTTGAGTGATGGGCGTTTACAATTTATACAAAAATTAGATTAGAATAGAACTGAGTATACCTGTGAACAAATCTCGAGCGAGCTGGGGATATAGTATTAATATTATTTGGATATATTAATTTAAGAACGGTGCAGGGTTGTGTTTAGGCCCAAATGTGTGAGAATGAAGCTAATAAAAGTTAACCTACTGCGCCTCTCTATTAAGAACGGGAAATCCCCAAGACGGGCATCTATTGAGGATCCATTTAGAACCTTCAGGGATATTCTACAAGTGCTATTCGGGCGGTATCTTATCGTGGGAA